AAATATAAAAGGTATGTCGGTGTCCTGTAACTCTGTTTTTTATGTTGTTTTCTGAATACAGAGAATTTTTAAAAAAGATATGGATATCTTTATAGACGCATGATCATCAAAAATGTTATCAATTGCGAGATAAAAATTGACACAACACTGATTCACATCATCACAGTTGAGGACACAGTCTCAATTTATAATACTTCGCGTAGGCCTTTTTTGATATTACGTACAACAACTTTTGAGAAGTTTCTCTGAAGGGTTGAGTAGGCCTTTTTTGATATTACATACAACAACTTTTGAGAAGCTTCTCTGAAGTGTTGATGACTGTTTAATATTAAAGACCGAATTTTGGGACAGACAAAATATTGGGAAATGGTCTGATGTATCTAATGTTACTACACCACTGTGATGGCTTTCATAGACATTGGTGAGAATGTTATTTAGCGATGATTTAGAAGTAATGGACGTTCTTGTAGGCAAATTAATTAGATGGATAAAAACTACAACTTGAGAATAAATTTCGAAATATTAGTTTATTGCTAGAACGAGCAATTAGGTCTTACTGTCCTTTAACAATAATTCAAAACTTGATACAGATCTACGTGTTTGGAGGTCTGTACACTGCTATGATTCTAACAGTTTGTCTCCCTTTAAACAATAATTTAACAGTTAAGACTTCTAGATTTTCTGTTTGATCGTTTTCTCCTTTACAAATTTCATACACAATATTTTTGTTAACAAATATCCCCACTTCTCTACCCAATCTTTCACTGCGGTTGAGGCATTCAAAATTATGATTAGGTAGTCGTAGTAATGGAGCCGTCTGATCATTCAGATACGTCTCTGACACCACAATAGCCGTGAAAGAAAATGGCAAGAGGCTCAGGTGCATTTCTAGGTCACACGTTTTATTAAATAAGCTTCTGGAAGTTAGATGTAATAGTGGAAACTCATTTCTTTGATTTCCTTCACTAAAACGACTGTTCAATGAACTTGTGCTGCAATAGTGAACATCTATTTAAATTAATTAAGTTAGCCACTTGTGACATATTCTTTTTTTCCAAACTTCCAGTCCCGTAAGATAATGGGGTTAGGCATTATCTCGGGGTCTTTTATTTTATCAACGTTACTTTTTTTAACGCAAATTCTTAACTTTGTGGAATGTTCATCTACTTTGTTATCTGCACCATCATCATCCAGTGAACGTTTCAAGACAGGGAAGCATGATATCACTTTAATACCGTTGGTTTTCAGATATCCAACAACGTCGTCTTTGTGGCATTTTTAAAAATTGCTCATAAATATGAATGACTTTTTAATAAGCACTTTTTTAGCCTGAAGTTTGCAATTTTCGACAACTTTTGTGCCAATGATTTTGTTAATTGGTTTTGTATTAACTAAATTATTTTATTACTTATTATTATTTTAAAACTTATTATTAAAGTCGCTATCTGACTGACAGTCGTGATTATATTGTGTTTGTTTCCTCTGTTTTTTGGCTACCAATATAAATGGATATGTATTATCCTCACCTGTACTTCATGGAATGCCCGACCACAGATTTTTATTACTTGACAAATTATTATTACCAACGTTGTCTTTTTTTGTGAATGCGTTCCTATTTTTGTTCACTTTTTCAGCTGTACCTTTAGATTCTGCAATTTTTCGAGTTGTTGGAATACATAAATACGTACATACATACATACATACATCCATACATACATACATACATACATACATTGATGTTTGACGGTTCAGTGTCACTCATCATGTTTTGGTTTTAACATACATACATCCATGCATACATATATAAGTAAAAAACATACACACATACATACGCACGCATAAAAAACACGTACATGTATGTACACGAAGATACTCAACCGATGGCGGTATCCATTCAATCTATCAACAACAGCTATATTGCTTGCACAACATGCGCATACGCAAAGCATACACGCAAATGCATAATGTATATCTGTGCGTGTGTATGTATTTGTGTGTGTTTATGTATGTATGTATGTATGTATGTATGTATGTATGTATGTATGTATGTATGTATGTATGTATGTATGTATGTATGTATGTACGTATGTATGTATGTATGTATGTGCGTGTGTGGTGTATGTATGTATGTATGTATGTGTGTGTGTATGTATGTATGTATGTATGTATGCATGTATATAAGTATGTATGTATGTATGTATGTATTAGGGATGCACCGAAGTTCGGTCCCGGCTCCGGCCCCGGCCAAAATCCGGCTTTTTTTTCAAATCCGGTCGAATCCGGCCCCGGCCGGATTTAGGGCCGGATTTAAGCGTCTATCTATTTTAAAAATGTTAGAAATAGAAAAAAAAATTTTATTGAATTCAACATCACTAATTGTGAGGTAATCTGGACAATTTTCTTTATGCTATAACATGGGTTATGCATAAATTATAAGCTGATCTTTGTGTAAAAGAACTTGTGCACGTGTATATACTATATTTTGATAATTGCACATGACGGATCATAAAGCTACATAATATATATATATATATATATATATATATATATATATATATATATATATATATATTGGCCTAAAAATGTAGATATTTGCTATGTACCATTTAAACATATTTTGATTCTTATACCTGATGATAACATTTCTTATGTTGGAAAAATTCACAACTCTTCCTGAAACTGTTTTTAAACACATTAGCACGTTGTATAATAATTTTAAATTGAAAAAAATTAAAAAAATTGACACTTGAAAAAAATTTGTTTTGCCTGTTTTTGAAGTTGTTTTATTTTTCAAAGAAAGCAAACGCCAATTTTATTTTTTAATATGTTGTTAAGCTATTAAAGCACTATATAAACAAATTTTAAAAATTAAAAAACGTTTGGTTCTTCATAGTTAAATATGGCGCCAAACAAAAGAAGTTTTTCATTTTTTTGACATTTTGAGCTCGATAGCTCAAAAAGTTCAATACAGATTTTAACGAAATTTTGTGATTTATTTATGACTATAAGGTACTTCTAAAATAACAAAAAATATTTATTTATTTTGCGATAGATTTTGAGCTACGCTGTTTTGAAATCGGTGAAATTTTCAAAAAATTCATTTTGTTCTAGATTTTTTGTTCAAAATTTCTTTTGATTCGAGACAATAACATTTATTTTTTTGTTATTACATTGTTTCACTGATATGCACAAAAAATTTCATCAAGATATGTTGGCTAGTTCAAGAGATATAGCGTTCTACATAGGTACAAGTTTTGAAAAAATCGCTCAAAAATTTGAGGATGCTGTCACAAAAATCTTCATAACTTGAAAAATAATTGAAATTTTTTTATAAAAAATTTATTTTGTTGATGAAATACATTGAGGTACTTACTGTTCAAATTTTTAAAAAATCAGAGATGGTCGGGCGTGGACTTTTTTTTAAATCGTTCAAGTTGACGAAGAATGACCGATATATATATCTATATCTATATATATATATAAAGATATATATATATATATATTTAGAGAGAGAGAGAGATACATAAGCACATAATTTAAGAACATGGTATGTTAAAGGTTAGGCTAGGTATACATGACAAATAATTACAACATCACTAATTGTGCGGTGAGCTGGACAATTTTCTTTGTGCTTTAACTTGGGTAATGCAAATATGCATAAATTATAAGCTGATCGTTGTGTACAGAATTTGGCGTATCACACAACTTATTCATATATTTGAATTATATAACTATTATATAACTATTTGCTTGGTGTTATTTTTTGATGTTCAACATGTAGATAACCGTAAATGTATGTATCTATGTATGTATGTATGTATGTATGTATGTATGTATGTATGTATGTATGTATGTATGTATGTATGTATGTATGTATGTATGTATGTATGTATGCATGTATGTATGCATGTATGTATGTATGTATGTATGTATGCATGTATGTATGCATGTATGTATGTATGTATGTATGTATGCATGTATGTATGTATGTATGTATGTATGTATGTATGCATGTATGTATGCATGTATGTATGCATGTATGTATGTATGTATGTATGTATGCATGTATGTATGCATGTATGTATGTATGTATGTATGTATGTATGTATGTATGTATGTATGTATGTATGAAGAAAGTGCGTAGGAGTTTTCGATGCCAAAATTAAATTTCTATTTCTAGAAGACAGCTTATTTTAGTGTCGCTATCGTTGCAGCTGACGTGACGACGACGACTGACTGCGATAGTGAATAATGACGATGATGATTGTGATGATGAAAAATTGGGGGTACCCAATATTGGAGAAACAGACGACGATGATGATAAATGTGAATGAAGATGATGATGATGATGAGAATGACCACAACAAATAATCAATAAATAATAAATTGTATAAAATTGTAAAATTTGGATCATGAGAGATAGAAAGATAGAGAGAGAGAGAGAGAGAGAGAGAGAGAGAGAGAGAAAGAAAGAGACAGACAGGGAGAGAGATTGAGAGAGAGAGAAATAAAGAAATATGAATACAACGACGAAGATGATGCAATAACGATGAAGATGCATGTAAGTAAGGAGGAAAATTATAATAGTTACAAGACTATTTATATCTTGTGGATCAACATCTAAATATCAGAATGGGTGGACAAGCACATGTACACGCACGCACACACTCGTACAAACTCAAGCTCTGAGATAATTCTATACATACATATACTCATATATAATGTAGCGAAAGACAAATGTTGAGTTGCCTCAGCTGCACACATGCATGCTGCCGAATGTATATTTATAAGTACAGGGACTAAAATTAGTCTAGTCATACTTTTTAGTTCATCGAGACAATTTTTGCTGATTTTTAACTAAAAATTGAGTTTTACTGAATTCTAATAACAATAATGCCCTTTAGATCCGCCACTGAATAAACCCAGTACAAAATTTCTAACTTAACTCACTATATTCACATTAAAAAGAATCGAACTATAGTGTGTTCACTGTTCATCTAGATCCACCACTTGTTGCTTGTGTGTATATATGTACGTATGCATGCATGTATGTACGTATGTGTGTACGTATGCATGCATGCATGAATGCATGTGAGAAGTCCGTTGAGCCAAATCATCGAGAAGTCTTCAGAGGAGGAATCCCTGAAGACAAATGTTTCGGCCCTAAACTACCTCCTCACATTCTCGGGGAACCGGGCCGCGTTCTTTGATCACTCGGACACTTCTCGATGACTGTTGGTTTTTCAGCGGTGTTGATCTGCTATTTATACCAAAATTCAGCTTTTAATTTCCATACGAAGGCTTGCTAATTTAGCCTACACTCCTTTTCATTTCTATTCAGCCACAACCAATACGAAGCTTGCTCTGCGCTACTAATAACTTTCTTCAGGCATGCTGTACGATTCCTGCCTGCTGACAGACCCAACTCTGAAAAGTCGCTACATCGACGCTCCCACTGTTCCTCTTGCACCAGCCTCAACAGCTTAGAACCTGGTTTTGTATCCTTTCTTGTTTAAATCTTGAATCAGTTGTTCATACTTTGCCCAGTTTGTATGTATGTATTATTATTATTAGATTATTTATATATAAAGCGCCCTTTATTGTTCTCAAAGGCGCTAATAATGTAAAAGTTGATTGAATGGGCTAATGCAAAATTTGATTAAATGTTTCACTTCAATAAAATCATATCATGAAAAGTTTGTCTGAAAAGAAGGTTCTTTAGCTTTCTTCAAAATTCAGTAATTGGCAACCCACGATTTCGCAAGTCAACCGGCAAACTGTTCCAAATCTTCGGTCCCATAACAGCGAAATCTCTGCAACCAACAGCAAGCTGAGTTTGTCGAATTGTTAACAAATCTAAATCGTTTGACCGTAACTTCTGACACTGTAACGGTGCATTTCTTGGAACAATTCGATCCATTAAATATTTCGGCGCTAATCCATTAATGCTTTTATACACCAGTAAGACAATTGAAGACAATTCTTTGTTGAACGGGCAACCAATGAAGATTGAAGAGAATAGGAGTAACATGATCAAAATATGAACCACCAGTTAACAACTTGGCAGCCCGATTTTGAATTAATTGTAACTGTGCAACATACTTTTTGGGTAAACCGTAGAATAAACTGTTGCAATAATCGATCCTCGAGTGAATGTATGTATGTATGTAAGTATGTATGTATGTATGTATGTATGTATGTATGTATGTATGTATGTATGTTTGTATGTATGTATGTATGTATGTATGTATGTATGTATGTATGTATGTATGTATGTATGTATGTATGTATGTATGTATGTATGTATGTATGTATGTATGTATGTATGTATGTATGTATGTATGTATGTATGTATGTATGCTTGACTTTATTCAGGTATATTAAAAATAAGAATTTGTTGGATAGAATAACATTATTTTGCAGTTCTGATATAAACAAAGTACCAAACACGGAAAACTGGCTGAAAATAAATTTCGACTTTGTTAACAAACAAATAAAAGAAATGTTGTTCAGTCAACAAGCTGAAATTAACAAAATGTTTTTGTCTTACACTACCGAGTTGGATAATGTAAAAAATAAACTTAACTCTCTTGTTGGCGAAAGTCGTCAAATGTCAATAACGAAATTCAAACGACAAATAACGCGCAGCAAGATAACATTCTACAGGACAAAAATCTCTGGTCAAACAGAGTAACAACACCAGTGGAGAACTTACCGTTCAGTCTCGTACTGTGCAAAAACAAGCGTCCACGGTCAGACAACAGCAGCACCAATCGCAGTGAAACCGATAGCAACAACGCCAATCGTCAAAACAACAACGTCATGAAATATTCAGAGGTTGCAAAAAAAAGTTTCAAATAAAATTGTTGGAAACAAAGTCAGCAATGATTGCAAATTGAAAGCGGAGAAACAGCTGATAAAAAAGTCATTTTTCATGATGAGCAACATTCAGCGATGCCACCGTGATGATGTTGTTGAATACTTGCCAACCAATGGAATCAAGGTAATTTCGTGTTTTCCTGTTGTTAAAAAGACAAATAATTCGATTGAGGGTAACAAAAACAACAATGATGATGAGCAGTCCACAATGTTCAGAGTGTGTGTCGAAAGTTGTGACGCCAGCAAGATGAAAGATCCTGACATCATTTTGAAGCACATCATCGTTCGTGAGTGGCGCTTCAACCAGAAAAAACCCGAAGAAAGTAATAATGTGAAACATGATTAGCACAAATGCAGCAAACAAAGAAAACCACCGCAAAACACTTAACAACAGGTGCCAAAAATTTGAAAATATAAACCAATTTAATAACCAATTTAAACAAATACATTACAATAATTCCAATCATTTTTTAATCTCATGCATATCAACATCAGAAGTTTAATACACAAGGCAGATGAGTTGTTTGATTATTTAAACAATTTTGTGTGCACATTTGACGTCGTAGCCATCACTGAAACATGGCTTAATGATAGTACAGAAGATTTGATTTGTATGAACGGTTTCAAATTCATCGGAAAAAATCGATTGAGCAAACACGGTGGAGGAGTAGGATTCTACGTAAGCAATAACTTGACCTTCAAGACAAGAAATGATTTAAACAAGTTGGGAGGTCTAGATTTTGAAACTTTCGCAATTGAATTAAAGACTGACCCTTCAACCAAAAATTTCGTCATTGTTGTATTATACAGACCACCCAGTTGCAACGCGATCTATTACCTGCAGCAATTAGAAATTATATTGCAACAAATAGACGTTGAAAACAAGCATGTTGTTATCACAGGTGATCTCAACATTGATATGAGTGACACGAACGATGATGTTAACAAAATGTATTTATGTCAACTTTTTACCTGCTACAGTTTTGATCAGTTAATAACGCTTCCAACAAGAATCAGTGTTGAAAGGCAATCAATCATCGACTGCTTTTTCACAAACTTTCCGCAACAGGTAGCGTTATGTGGTGTGCACGTTCATGATATATCGGACCATCTGCCCATCACTGTCACTATCAGTTTTTCCATTAACAAAAATAAGTCCAAATACGTAAAGAATCAACAAATCTACTCCTTTTCAAAAAGTAGAATAAACAAACTTAATGAAGCTTTATGTATCAACGATTGGTCAGATGTTTTGTTATGCAATGATGTAAATGATGCTTTCAAACTTTTCATTGACCTATTTAAAAAACTTTTCGATGACTGTTGCTTAATGGGAAATGTCAAAAAATCTAGAAATTTTCTCTGTAACAAACCATGGATTACAAAAGAATTTAGTATTTTACTCAAAAATAAAAATTCTTTATATAAAAAATTTCTCGAAAATCCAACCGTGATAAGATACACGAAATTTAAATCAATTGCCAAACGTTGCTCAAATCTCAACAATAAGCTAAAAAAACAATACTTCAGTGACTTGTTTCAACGAACAAAAAATAACAGCAAAAAACGTGGTCGAATATTTTAAAAATAATAAATAAAAGTAAAGATGATAAAAATGAAAAGTTACTAACCTCAGATGAACAGGTTTTAGACAATCCTGAAGATGCACTTAACAAACACTTCATAAGCCTAGCTCCAAATTTGATGAAAGATTTTACGAAAAATTCTGAATGGAAGCAAACAATGCACCATAAACTTTCAAATTCCTTTTTTTGTCTTGATACCTCATTTGAAGAAGTTGTCGAGACGGCAAAAAGTTTACGACCCAAATATTCAAGTGGTGTTGATGACATTCCTTCAAAAATTGTTATTTCCACAATCAACTCAACAGCTTAAATTTTGAGTTATCTGGTAAATTTTTAATTTGCGACAGGCATATTTCCTCAATGTTTCAAAGTGGCAAAAATAATTCCAATAGCACAAAGCAGACAGCCAATACCGATATAACCAACTATCGACCTGTAGCGTTACTACCGGCCTTTTCAAAAATTATGGAAAAATTGATGTACAAAAGAATTGTCAATTTTCTTCAAAAGTATAACATAATTTTAGACTCTCAATTTGGCTTCCGTGATAAACACTCAACAGGGTTGGCAATCGTGAAGTTGATCCGTAAAATTGGAGTAGCTGCAGAAAATAAAAACTTTGTCGTTGGAACTTGCATCGATCTGTCAATAGCCTTTGACTGCATCGACCACAGCATTTTGATGGAAAAGTTAAATTATTATGGAATCCGTGGAACACCCCTAAGATGGCTTAGTAACTACTTGACCGATAGGAAACAGTTTGTTAGATGGCAGAACAAAAATTCGACGATACTAACAAATAACTTTGGAGTTCCTCAGGGAAGCATATTGGGTCCACTACTGTTTGTGATCTTTATAAACGATCTTCCCAAGGCATCGAAGTTTTTTGATTTTGTTTGTTATGCCGATGACACTAATATTTTTAGTAAAGGTGAAAATATTCATGAACTTTTAAATAAAACCAATATTGCCATTAAAGTAGTGGTCAAATGGTTTCAAAACAAAAAATTAACGTTGAACAACAAAAAATCTCAAATGATTATTTTTGGGCCGGTTCAATATCTAAACTACAAAGAACCGTATAAGATTACAATTAATGGACTAGAAATAAGCGAAAGCAAATCAGTTAAATTTCTAGGTGTCCACCTTGACCAAAAATTAAGTTTTCGACACCACGTAAATTGCGTATCAGGAAAAATGGCGAAAGCACTTGGCGTTATCAACAAAGTTCGATTTTACGTTCCAAGAAGAACGTTAAATATGCTCTATAACGCCATGTGCGTACCGTACATCTCTTACTGCAACGTAGTCTGGGCTGGTACCTATCGCACAATCACCGATCCCATCCGATTAATAACGAAGAGGGCACTACGGCTAGTTACATCATCAACAAAGCAATCGCACACGTTGCCATTATTTTTGTCAACGAAAAAATTTGAATTTTGATCAGGTGAATGCCTACTTCACGGCTAATTTAGTCTACAAACAGCTGACAAACAAGTTACCATCAATATTCAATCATTACTACACTTGTAGCAACAACAAGAGACAAAATTACATTAGATCAAATTCATCAAAAACAAACATTCTCTTCCTCCACGTATATTGCAAAGGACCAAGAATTTGGAATTTGCCATTAAAGAACAACTTTAAAATTGACTCAATGTCTGATGTTAAATTTAGGCAGAAACTGAAAAATTTTATTTTAAACTTAAGAATTAAGTTCTGTTGATTTAGTCAAAATAATTTAGTTATATGATGTTACATTTTCCTAAATATTCTTACAATTTGTTGTTTTATTTGTGACAGGGTGGCTGTGCAAGATGAGCTCATCACGAGCTCGATCATAGTCATCCTGCCTTCTTGATTGTTATTTCGGGAAGCAAATAAAATATTCGTTTCGTTTCGTATGTATGTATGTGTGCATGTATGTATTTCATACATTACATACATATATCACATCACATTTCTCTTTAACTTTTAGAACAATGTCGTTCTATATATTGCTTAAATATATAGATAACTATGTAATGTCTATCCCGTGTTTTTCTGGATAGATACCAAACATTGTTATACATAAACCATGAACCATCGTACTAACAACTAACACCTGTTTTGCTAACATAGTTAAGTTCGTTAATTTACTAACAACTAACATCTAACATACCTCTCATAGATCATTTAGGGAAAATTTTTATTATTTGCTGAAAATTTGTGTGAACATGGAACATTTCTGTTTAGGTGGCCATACTAGATGAATTTTATATAAATTCTATTATGGTCATCCTGCTTTCTTTTAATTTTCAATTTTGAGAAGCAAATAAATAATTTCGTTTCGTTTCGTATGTATGTATGTATGTATGTATGTATGTATGTATGTATGTATGTATGTATGTATGTATGTATGTATGTATGTATGTATGTATGTATGTATGTATGTTAAAACCAAAACATGATGAGTGACACTGAACCGTCTGTATGTATGTATGTGTGTGTGTGTGTGTGTATGTGTGTGTGTGTGTGTGTGTGTGTGTATGTATGTATGTATGTATGTATGTATGTATGCATGTATGTATGTATGTATGTATGTATGTATGTATGTATGTATGTATGTATGTATGTATGTATGTATGTATGAATGAATGTACTTATGCGTGTATATATATGTTTGTATATAATATGTTTGTATATGTGATTGTATATTGCTTATATGTCAGTGATATAAAGTCTCTGCCTAGTTGAAAACGTAACGAAAAGACTAAATGGAATTGAAAAATTATAAATAATAAATAAATAATAATTATTATAATTAATAATACTAATAAATAATAATAATATAAATATTAAAATTATTAATCATAGAATAAAATTTATAAACAATTAATTAATTAATTAAAAATGGCGTTCAAACCATTTAAAGTTCGGACTGGTTCGTTTTGAGGATGATGATGATGATTGCGATGATGATGATGATGATGACGATGATGATGGAGATGATAATGGTTATGACGATGATAATGATGATGATGATGATAAAAAATCAGTCTATAAGATAAAAAGCTACCAACAAACACTACATAAACCCACAGATATATCAGCAAACAACAACAACAACTATGATGTCATCAAACCCTACAACAGCATCAACAACAACAATAACAACAACATCTCCACAGCAACCATCTTAACAATCGTCATAACGACGACCACACTATTCATCCTACTAGTAACAATCGCAGCGGCCATATACAGGTATATAACGAAAAGACGCCAAACTCTATCCAATCCGGAAATTAGACTGTCGGCCGCCTTTAGAGAGGGCTTTCTCCGAGAAGACCACGCCCCAATTAGGAGGTCCACCAACAGCACCACTATGATACAACTTCGGCCCTCGAATATTTCGGGAACGAAATCATCCAGAGCGGAAAATGAACGAAACCAGGAGCAACAACAGCAAAGACTTATTAAAGATTGCGGAACCGGAAGTGGAAACTATGGCGGAATTGGGAATAATAGTAACAACAATAATAGCATGAATAACAACAGCGACAATAATAATAATAATAATACTAATAACAACAATAATAATAACAATAAGACCAAGGAATGTCCACGACCCAATGGGAAATTTGAGAAGATGATGGTTAAGCTATACAGGGAGAGGAAGAAAAAATATAATAATAATAATAATAATAATAATAACGGTGTTGATGATGCTCTTGTGGAAAATTCGATAGACGGAAGAAATGGGCAACGGATGAGTGGAGAAATTAATGCATCTCGCATTCCTAGCATAATGAATAGTTTGTGTGACAAAAATAATAATAATAATATCAATTATAATTATAATATAAATAATAATAATAACAAGACATCAAAAGTAAACTTAAGTATTAGGTACAATTTTGTCACGGAAACTCTATCTTTTAACGTACATAAAGCTTCTAATATTAATAATCTTTGGCTTAATAGTAGCAACAACAACAACAACGACAACATCATCAACAACAATAATAATGAGAATAATTATAACAGTATTAACAATAATATTTGTACTAATCACGAAGACGATTTCAACAACAACAACAACATCAACAACATCAACAACAACAACATCAACAACAACATCAACAACATCAACAACAACAACATCAACAACAACAGCATCAACAACAGCATCAACAACAACAACATCAACAGTAACAACATCAACAGCAACATCAACAACCTCCACAACAACATCAACAATGCAAATGACGCAACCACCCATGCATACATTAAGCTCCAGCTGGTGCTACCTGACCAATCCACACTGTCTGTTAGTTATTTTTAGAAATTTCGGGATTTCCTTACTGTCTATTTCTAGAATACACACACACACACAAATATACAGACACACACACACACACACACACACACACATATATATATATATATATATATATATTCTAAAACTATGTATATATATAGGGTGTGTATGTGTATATATTAATATATTATTATAAATAATCATCTTAGACATGAATGTAAAGATTTAATGGCTGAATTAAAAGGTGAATAGATCTATGAATGAATGAATGAATGAAAAAATAAATAAATAAATAAATGAACGAACGAAAGATGGAAATAATGAAGGAAATACATGCATTGATGATGATTGAACAAACGAATGAAACAATTGAACTTAAGAAACCAATGAGTGATATGAATAAATGCATGAAAAGAAGAACAAACAAATGAACGAACGAACGATAACGATGAATTAATGAATTAAATGAACAAACGAACGAACGAACGAACCAACAAAGAAATGAAAATTCAAACAAATCAATCACTTAATAAAATTTCCAACACACAGGCCAAAACGCGCATGATAAAGAACAACAATCCAACTTACGACGAATTATTTGAATTCTACAACCTGTCACCCCCTACCATCTTAGATGGTATCGTCTTCAATCTATCTATCTACAATTGCGATAGATTCTCGCAGGATGAACTCCTGGGGGGTGTCCAGCATGATTTGACGAAAACTCTAATGAGCGAGAGATGGAACCAGTTTTATAATACGACGAAGGCGAAAAATAATGAAAGAATGAAGGTTGATAATGACGTCATAAGAAGTACTACTACTACTACCAATAATAATAATAATAATAATAATAATAATAATAATAATAATAATAATAATAATAATAATAATGACGATGACGTAATTGAGACGTGTTTGTCTCTAAAGGTGGAGCCATTCAAAAGTAGCCAGGTTGCAATTAGTTAAACATTGTTATTATTAATGTTATTATTACTATTATATTATTATTATTATTATTATATCCATCTATCCATTCATCCATCTAGCCAGTCGGAGCGTCAGAGTTGGATAAAAACTGTTTTTCCTTATGACCCCTTAGTTGAGAATTTCCATCTCCAGAAAAATGCTTCAACATTTGCATCATAATTTTAAATTCACCCATCCAATCATACATTCATCCATACATTCATTCATCCGTCCATCTATCCATCTATTCATCCATTCATTTATCCATCTAGTCCTCACCGTCAATGGTAAACAATTTTGATGACGTCAACAAGGCTGGCCGGATGCTCATATCACTAAAGTACAACCAGATGAGCTCGATGTTAGAAATTGGCGTCTTAAAAGGTTCCATCATGCTGAATAAATGCTCCTCGTCTTTAGATAAAGGTTCTTTTTTACACACATACCCACACACAAACCTACACACACACACACACAGAAAAAGCACATGTGAATAATAATAATAATAATTATATGCCATCTTCTTCAGATAAACTAATGGTCTTAACGAGCGTTAAACACGGTGACGATGAATTCTATAGGAAAATAACAAAATTGAAGCACAACAACAACAACAACAACATTAATAATAATAATAATAACGACGACGATGACGTCATTGTCGTTTTCAACGAATCATTTAGCGTTCAACTCCCACGTGACGACGACGAACTGACAAAAGTATTAATTCAACGTAGACAATACATCAACAACAACAACAACATTAACAACAGCAACAACAACAACAACATCAACAATTTCGTTAATGGTAGCACTAACAATAAGACAATTCACAACTATTACAATAACATCATAAGCAAGGACACTTCATTCGGTTTTCAACAACAACAACATCAACAACAACAACAGCAGCAGCAACAAATTTCAAAACCAGCTAACGTTCTAAATTACATATTCGACAGCATGTACCCGCTCAGAAGATCTTCGCTATGTTACATAACAAACAACAACATCAACAACAACAACAACATCATCAATCACAACAACATCATCAATCACAACAACATCAACATTATTAACAACAACAATTTTTCAAAACAGAACGTCAGAAAATCGTTTGACAACAACGTCACCGACGTCGATAAGAATTTTTCAAAACAAATAGTCAGAAAATCATTTGATAGCGCTTCATCATTTATGTCATCATCGTCATTTTCTTCTTCCTCATCATTATCTTCATGGATCGATAATTTTACGGTAACATTTTACCTCATCGACGAGAAAGGTTTGACCGACAAGAGGTATTACGCCAGAGCCGGTATAGGAAAAATAAAAAACAGCCCATCCCTACTTTTATCGTTACGTCATCACCGCGAGGACAACGATAACTCAGTCCTTAGCAGTAACTATTGTATATCAGCCAGTGATTCTAACGATGGCGAAATAAATTATGTTAATGAGGATGACGTCAGTCATTGGAGAGAGGTGATTGGCCAGCCGAATAAGATGATCGCGAGATGGCACGATCTGATTGGCTGATCGATGACAAACTATTGCGAAATTGTAAATAGTAGTGTAAATAAACACACACACTAAGACGCAAATATATATATATATATATATATATATATATATATATATATATATATATAAACACACACACACAAACACAAACAAACGCAAATATATATAAATATATAAACACACACACCACACACACATATATATATATAAGTATAATTTTAAAAAGCATGAGTAACATATATTATGTTAATGTAGATAATACCACGGGTAATGTATATTTTCGTGTTGTGTTTCACACGTCTGTCATGCGAGTTAATGTGAATTATAATTATAGTATATTAACAGTGAGACACACACACACACACAGATATTCACACACACACACACACAAACAGATATTCTCTCTCACACACACACAGATACTAACACATACATTCGCACATAATTTGTAGATATAAAATGGCTTGTAAAATATTTAATACTAAATTTTTTCATTACATACTATAGAGACGACAAAACACCATACAACAAAAATTGAAATATATCTCATAATTGGCCGGTTTCCATCCACTAATTGGTTTATAATGATTTAACTGGGACGCATCCAATTATTTGATTGGTTGTTTAATTTTTACGAAATTGTTTGATTGGCTCATTTAAATTGATACTAATTATTTGATTGGTTGACTTTTAGGAAATTATTTGATGGCTCATTTAAATTGATACTAATTATTTGATTGGTTATTTAATTATGTTACAATAATCTGATTAGTTCATTTAGACAGGTATTGGTCCGGTTAATTTCGCCATAATTAATTGATTGGTTATTCAATTAAATCAGAATTATTTGATTGGTTTTTCAATTAAATTAGAATTATTTCATTGGCTCAGGTAATTTTGCTACAATTAGTTAAATCTGCAAGTTGAGCTAAATTTGGAACTTAACAGCATTTTAAACATTTTAAATTTCATTTGAAACAAAACAACCTCCTCCCCATCATCATCATCATCACTACCCTTATCATTATCATCAATACCATCATCAGCATTTCGTGAAATAAAATCATCATTGTTGTTGATTTGGATAACTAATTTGTTAATTTATTAAATGCACAAACACACAAACATAGTGATAGAGAGGAGAGAGAGAGAGAGAGAGAGAGAGAGAGAGAGAGAGAGAGAGAGAGACAGAGAAATACAGACTAATTTACTTCACGTTCAATAAAATGCTTAATTAATACTGCCATTTAAATTTATTTATGGTGATCCTTTTATTCTATTTAATGGAATAAAGATGATGATGATGACGACGACGATGATGATGATGCTAAAAGTTATGATAATGATGAAAAAGGTTTCATCGATACTATGAATGAATGAATATTAGTGGATGAATGAATGAATGAATTGATAAGTAAATGACTGAATGTATAGGTAAGTGAATGGCTGAAACAAAGAATGAATGAATGAATGATTGAATGAACGAATGGTTGAATATAGGTGAATGAACATATGTAAAAATGAGTAAATGAATGTAGATACAACTGAATAATACATACATACATATATATATATATATATATATATATATATATATATATATATATATATATATATATATATATATATATATATTTGATAATCAGCTGAAATTCGTCGTACGAAAAACTGAAAAAAACTCAATTACAAATTGAACAATGCAATGCAATGCTGTTATTTTCAGATGGTCTCAACCCAAAATATGTATATATATGTGATGTGTTTGTGTGTGTGCGTGTGTGTGTATACAAACATAGTAACACATAAAGAAGCAAGCATAAGCTTCTGTTGTAGTAGTGAAAAAATTATTTCAACATCCCACGCAACGCACATCCCTAAAAACGCCCCGCGTTAAAGGAGAAAATGGATGAGTTTCGTTCATCTCCTTGAAGGTCTAATTTTAGGCAGACTCTTCAATCCTGTCGGCCGGGGCAACAACATGGTCGTAAGCAGACTTCAATGATTTGATAGCCTCAGCACAGCACGAGATCAGTGACACTAACTGCTTAGCGTGTTCAACATCGTTTGACTTCTTCAACAGATCTGTGGCCCAATCCAGCTTCAGCGAAACTGCACCGAGGGATTCTTTGAGTTTGTTGTCGTAGTTGCTGGCAGACGAAGTCGACGATTGGTGCTGGTAATTGTAGTGGTGGTGAGTCATGCAGATGTTCAGCTGCTGCTGCTGGTGGTGGTGGGAAGCTTGTGGTTGCTGTGGTTGCTGGTGCTGATGGTGACAAGAATCAAGCGAACTCTGGTGACAGAGGGCATGATCTTTGACCTGGAATCAAAAAAGTCAATATTAAATAACAACCAACATGAAACCAAAGATAACGATAACCCTTTCTTTGACCAAAATGGAGAATGATAACTGATTAATGATGACGAGAATGAATTATTTATCGTATACCGCGTACAACCGACTTTGGTCTGAACATTGAATTGTGAATTTTTTTAAGAATATGCGTATTTCGCGAATCGAACTTTCAGCTGCTAATTACATCAATCTATCAATCAGCCATTCAGATTTTTCAGATAGATACCATCAATCTATCGGTGAATTATTAATATTTTTAAGTTCACATCAATCAACCAATGACACCAATCGGTCGATCAATCAACCATTCCTATCAACCTGATTTCGTGAAGTTCGGTCGAACTTTCAGCCTACAGCTTGGTGAAACTTTAAAATATGCATCAATCAATTGATAAATCGATTCATCAATCAGTCAATCAATTAGTCAATCAGATTTCTCAAATCACATCAATCATCAATCAGTTGTATCAGATTATGCCTATTTCGAAACGAACTTTTCAACCATTTAATCAGTCTTTGAAGTTTCACAATCAAATCAATCGATCGATCAGGGAATAGATCAACCAATCAGTCAATCAATCACTCTAATCAATCAATCAGTCAATCAACCAAGTAAATCCATCAAACAAACAATTCAGCCAATCCAATTTCGAAGATCATAAATTTATCATTCATAAATTTTAAAACGACTTTGATGATTTTACAACCACTGCCGCATTTTAATTGGGCCATGATCTAAATAATCATGCCAGGCTAACTCGCGGACGGCCAATCATTCATAAATTTACAACGACTTTGATGATTTTACAACCACTGCCGCATTTTAATTGGGTCATGATTTGAATAATTATGCCAGATCAACATGCGGACAGCCAATCAGAATCGACTTTGATTGTAAAAAAGTCACGTGAAGTTAATGGTCTTTGTTTGGCAATAGTATAAAAGCAAAGCTGATGATGAAAATTTCATTAAACACTTCTTAACACTCTAGTTATCCTATTTCGTCTGCTAGTTGCCTTGTAGTTCCAATAAAGGATATATCGATTTCTGTAAAGGAGATTCGGCTTAATTATTGTATTCTATAAAGAAGGTTTGTTTAATTATCCCGAACTGAAGAAGAGATATCTCTGAATTCTGGTGCCTACTGATCAGGAAACTTTCGGTGCAGTCAGTTTGATATCTTCTTATTAAATTCATTTATTTATTCTTTGTTGATTTATTCTTGTTTTTAAATTAAATACACAAATTAAATAAAACTCGATTATTAACATTTATCTGAAAGATTAACATTTTTAATTTAGCTACAAGGAAGGAAAGAAGCTGCCTTCACAAGCTCTTATTTATAATTGCCAGTGAAGAAGTAAAATTATAAAATACCAAAGAAATATGGACCCGGTTAGTTTTTTAATTACATAGTTATAATGCATTATTTATTATATAATGCTAATAGTATTATAAAATTATATTATTCAATTTATTCACTCCAAATATCTCTTACAGAGTGTAGCCGTCAGCGTTTCATATTCGCAGAGCGAATCTAATTCTATTCCTTCAAATTCTTCTAAAGCAAAACCTAGAATTTTGGTAACTCAACACAGAGGGTTGACAATGTATACGCAACTGAATCCGCCGGCTGCGGACATTGATGAGCAGCAAGCATACGGCAAACATTTATATTTGAAATACAAGCACAACAAGATATTATTCGATACGTATTTGTATTACAAATATTTCGATGACCAGCAACTCTACGGTTAGCTTTGTTTTAATTTCTGATCATTTGGGAAATTTTACCGTTTTGTTTTTATTTTTTATCGTCTGGTCATTTTTACAGTTTTTTTTATTTTTGATCATCAGGTCATTTTTACAGATTGCTTCTAATTTTATACTTGTATTATTGCTACTATTTTTATTAATTATAATTTATAAATTATGATAAAAATATGTGAAAGTGGAATAATTATTTATTAATGGACGATCCCTTAGATGACTCTCTGGCTCCTCCGTTAACGTGTCCCAACCTGAAGGATTTCATAGATTACTACCAGTTGACTTCGTATACGTTGGAGAATGCATTGCAACAAGTCGAGTACTACTTCTCACCGTAAGTATTTGCTGCTGTTGTCGTTGTTTATCATTTCATTCTGTTTATATATTCCATTTTTATGGTTCATACCAACATGTACTGACTGACTGATTAACTAAATGTCTGTTCAATTTTCTAAATCAGACCAAATCTGGTGAAAGACGAGTTCATGCTCCAGACTAAAGATTGCGACGACTTCATGGACATAGGATACGTCAGCAACTTTGGCAAGATGAAGTTCATCCTAAGAGACATGAGTGAAAACCAGCGACGAAGGATAGTGACTCTGATGCTGAGAGGTTTGTTAATTCACTTTTATTATATCTATTCATTAATACTTGCTTCCATATACATTTATATCATAACTTCATAACTTGCACTACTGCTGGCCACCATACAATTGGGTCATCATCTTTTGTTTATTCTCATTTTTAGACAATAATTACAAACTATCATTTTGTATGGTTTTGTCGGACCTTACTGACTAACTTTTTAATATTATTAAATTATTTAAAGCCATTTTGTATTTTATTTTGTACACACACACATGCACACACAAATGATTAGACATGTGAATACAAACCAATGTATATACTTGCAGATTCACCCATGGTCGAGCTCAATACCACAGAGTCGAAAATGAGGAGCATTCCGTTGAGCGCAATGATTAGAAATGTTCTCGTCTTCCGAAACATCCATCCGTCGTGCACAGCGGACGACATCAAGAATCTTGTTAATGACGAGGCTACGGGGAGAGGGTGCAACTGCTTCCTGGCCGACCCGCTCTATCTCCCACCGTTCTCTTCATTCGCACAGGACTTGTACCAGGACACCAACCAATGGCTGGTCCAGTTTGAGTCAGAAGAGGCCGCAATGAGTTTTTATCAGATAGCTACCAAAGGGATTTCAATATTGGACAACCAGGTCTTTGTTAGGGTCCTCCTTCATTCATCCACAGCCTACAACAATCTGCTCTTACATGCGCCTGGAATGAAGCTGTCAGATTTCAACCCGGCCTCCTCCGAGCAGTACATGATAAACTATATTTCGCAGAATCAGATCAACTACCAGCAGCCATTCCTGCCACCTCATCAGCCTCAGCAGCTGCTCCAATTTCCAAATTCTTTAAGAAGTCAACAGCAGCAGCAGGCTGGCCTGCAGATGGCCCCTCAACAGGCTCCACTACTGCCAACGACTACGTATAATCATGACGCAACTCTAACGCACGTTATTAGTCAGCAGCATCCCCAACGCCCTCGATCCCCGACTCCCCAATGGCAATATTTATATCAGGCGGCACTGAACACTGCATCCATACCTGTTCAAGAAATTCCACCCAACAGCCAGTTAGCGCACCAATCACAACAGCCACC